GCGAATTGCATCTGTTTGATTTAAAATTTCTTTGTACTTATTACGATCATCGTTAGTATAATTAACAGGATGAGATTTTACTATGATCTCCCAAAGACCAGGTGTTCTAATGTATTTTTTATCTTCAATAGTTATATCATTACCTTCAATAGTTATTGGTTTTTTACCAATGTAAAATTTTTTATTATCTTCATTGTAATGTATACCAAATATGTCATCTGATACTTTTTTACTATTTTTAGCAGTATATAACTTTAGATATTCTGCTGCAATAGTTCCTAATGACATGTTATTTACAATTTCAGGTGGCAGATCCTGAAAGGATCCCTTCTCTTTAATTGCTTTAGTTTCAGAATCTAGTAAAGCAGGATAACTTGAAAAAGTATTAGCTATTTGATCAGCTTTATTTTCTAATTTAGATAAGGCTTCTTTTATTCCAGATTGACTATCTATTATTGGTTTGTGAAATTTTTCCAAGTTAGTCTGTAAAGTATCATAACCTAACTTTTCATTAATAGAATCTTGATATACACTTTTCTTTAACCAAGCAACTTCTTTTGCTAATTTTAATCTTGCTTCAATATATGTAGCCTTTACATATGACATTTTTTATAAGCAATATTTTTTTTAAATCAACATATGTTATGTTCAGTAAATACATAATATATGTTTTTAATTCTTAAGAGTATTATTTATCATTCCTATACTTTGATTCTTGTTAAATCTCATATTTAGCACTTCTATAATATCATTTGTACCTTTTTCTATTCCTTTATTAAATATTGACTCTTTAGTCTGCTCTTTATTAAATATTGACTCTTTAGATTTTGTTCTAATTTGTTCAGCCATAGCTTGAAACTTTTCAAGTTCTGAAAGTATCATATTAAATTCTGCATCATCAATATATTGATCTGATATAGCTTTAGAAATAAGACTACTTATTGTATTTAATTTTGCATCAGCTAGTACTTTAATCTTTTCATGCTTTTCTGCTTTTAAATTTAATTTTTTATTAGCTTGTGATCCTATTAAATTTACTGCTCCTATAACTAATGCAACAATCTCACATACAATAGCAACTGGAGCTAATACACCAGTTGCTAAACAACCCACTCCAGCAGCTCCTAATGCCATAGTGCTTGCTAGTAATGTATTATCAACTGCTGAAATGATTCTTGAAGCTCTATGATATTTCTTACTTAAGATCTCTCTTCTTTTCCTTTCACATTCTATTTTATTTTGAATTTCACTAATCTTTTGTAATCTAAAGTTATGATCAGAAATTGGTGGTGCAGATGGATTTTCTGAAAACTGGTTAAGATCTGGATAAAGTTGTTTACATTCATTTTTACATTCCATTCTTTTTCTATAAAGAAAAATTTGTTTAATTCATTTTATAAATCTATGCTTCGCTAAGTTATTTTAATATTTTTTTTTTTTTACCAAAATCAAATACAGTAGAGTCTTTAGCTTTGTTTGATTTATCTAAACTAGGTTTATCTTCATCCCATATAGTTTCTTTAATTATTTCTCCTATACTTGATAATATAGATTTTACAGATTCTTTATCACTTTGAGACTTTACTTGCTCTACTTTTTTATCAGGTGCAAAAGTAACCTTATGTGATATATAATTTGCATTAAAAACACCATTATAAGTTGATATACAGCATAACAAATCTCCTTTTTTAATATTTATATCTTTTTTATCGTTATTATATAAAGTTATTTTAATATCATCAGTAGACTCTATTACAACAGAATTTAGTAAATTTAGTGTTGGTTTATAATTTTCTGCAAGTGAAATCAATACATGTCCTTTATCTATTTTAGCTCCACACATTAAAGAAATGTTATTATATAAATTTGATTTTACTGTAAAATCTTCTTGTGCGAATACTTTAATATGCCTATCATTTATTGCTCTATGTTCTAAATCTGAATTAATATTAAAAGTTATTGTATATTTTTCATGCTTTTCATAATCTAAAAACATTCTTCTCTTATACATTTTTTATAAACCGTAAAGATATTAAATATTTAATATTTTAAAGTTCTTACAATATAATTTACAATTTGTTCATTCTCATGTAAATAATAACACTTTTTATAATCATTAACATTTTTATATAAAGTTATTTTTTCACCTTTTTTATTTTTCATTATTTTATTTTTGGTTAATTTACATAGTTTAAAAGGACAATTCTCTACGTTTTCTTTAATTTCATCTTTAGTATGAGCATATTTACATTTATCTTTTAAAGGACATTCTTTTTTATCAAGTATATATTTACATAATTTAGTTTTTGCTTTTCTTAATTTTAATAATTCTGACTTTTTAGGATGAAATAATCTACACTCTTTATTCTTGCATTTAGAGTACTCAGAACATAGAGCAATATGTTTATATCTGCATGAAGCTTTAGTGCATATTAATCTTTCTTTTACAGTATTACAATAAGGAATATCATGATTGTATTTACATTTTCTTCCAAAAGGGCAAAAATCATCTTTTAATATATTTTTACAAAAAATAGGTAACTTTTCTACAAAATGAATTGCAGAAGGTTTTCCATCTTCTGTAAAATTAATTTCAACATCAAATGGTTTTTCAAAACTAAATTTTCTGTTTTTGTTATGTTTTTTATGTTTTTTAACAAAAATTTATCTATAATAGGATAATCATTATCAATATTATCATTATAAGTTGGAACATAATTAATCCATTTCAGTTTATCTTTATACAATTCTATAATTTGTACTGTTTTTGAAGGAATTGGAATTGTACATTTTTCTTTAATTTCTTCCTCATCAGAATCATCAGATACGAAGTAAGTATCATTTTCAGAGTCAGAATCAGAATCAGATTCTTCAAATTCAAAGTTTTTTATTTCTTCAAAAAGTTTAAATTCTTTTTGAAATTCAGATATTTCATTAATCTCATCATAATTCATTTTTATTTTTTATTATTTGATAAAATATTTTAAATCAAAAAATTTAAAATGAGTTAAATAATTTTTCTTGTGTATATAAAAAAATGGAAAACGAAATAGCAAAGCAAGAATCGATTTGCGATCTAGCGAAGCATGGATCACAAAGTGATATAGCAAAGAAGCTTGAAGAATTATGCTTAAAATTAAAATTAGTAGAAGAAAGATTAGAAGATATTGAAATGACTGAAATTACTGAAGTTCTGAAATGACTGAAATGACTGAAATGACTGAAGTTACTGAAGTTACTAAAGATGATGAAGATACTGAAGATACTGAAGATGATGAAATGACTGAAGATATTGAAATGACTGAAGATACTGAAGATACTGAAATGACTGAAGATATTGAAATGACTGAAGATACTGAAGATACTGAAAGTACATATCATGACGTCACACAATAGAAACAAAATTGATACTAATTTTTAAATTTAAAAAAATCATTTTTTTAAATTTATATATATTTAAAAAAATTTATTTCTTAGTTATAATATTTATACACAATATGGATGATAATGAACCTCATATTTATTTAAATATAAGGTTGAAAATATGGTTAAAAATGAAAATGAGCCAGAACCGGCATACTCCCTCTACTTTGCCTTTGTGTTGCCAAATAATTAGTTTATTATTATTGTCTTTGTGTTGCAAAATAATTAGAGTTAACTTTGTCAGAAGATGTTTTTGTTTTGAATATTTTTATGAAAAGTTTTTAGTTTACTCTAACACTTTTTTCTAACAAAACAAAACAAGCATATACAAAAGTAAAAAGTATATATTAATTATAATTGAGAATTGACGGTTGTGCTTTAAGAAAATACAAAGCAAATTTTATTTGATTTCTAATTTTGTTATTGCAAATTGATTGATTGTTATTTTGGGAGTGTAAATATTCTTTAAACTGAAAGTTAAAAGAGAATGGGCTGAATCAACTATTACAAAGCATACAAGTTTGCAAAAACATGGCAATCATTGATGGTAAGTTCGTGACAGTTTTTAGGTTAAATTTCAAATTTGAAACAACTTTGTGTTTTGAAGAGGTTAACGCTACCTGCAGTCTACATCCGTAAGGATGCCTTTGGAGTCGCATATTACTTGAACATATATAAAATAAAATCCCTCGTAAATAAAATTCTTTTGATAACTACCTCTCTATCGGAAAACGAGTTCTATTTATAAAACTAAATGCTTAAAGCATATGAAATCTCGTTTTAACTTCCTAAATTTTGTTTTCCGTTTGAGTTTTGCTTTTTTGAAGATTACGTATTGTTCAAAGATGATATCTAATGACTTCGCAAACCTGTAATTCTACTAGTAATACTGCACACATATTTATCAAACATATTAGCCGTCATTTATACGGACCCTGTATATTTCAAGTAATTTAACAGACCTTGTATCTTTTAAACAATATATATTTTTAAACGTTATTTTTATTAGTTATTTAGGTACTCCGAAATGTCATAACGGTATTATTCTAAATGGCGATAAAAATACGTATATAGTTTAATAATGATTTTTAAATATACAAAAATTTAGAATCAGCTAATCTTCATGAAGATAATGATCATCAGCAAGTTTTTTATATAGATTAGGTCAAATATTTTCAGAGTTTTTTGGTTTAACCCATGGACTGCGGTACATTCCCATTGAAGGGTTTTTTTAAGTATTTTTGATAAGAAATTATTAAAATTATTTTAAATTATTGCAAATAAAAACGATTGGTCATTATATTTGTTACAATATAAGATAAATTTGCAAATGTATTTAAAAAAACTAAAAATAGACGTAAAACTCATTATAATGCTTCCTTTAACTCTTGTATTCAAGTCAATTCGTAATACAAGGTTTAGTTACTTATGTCAATGATCTGTTCAAATTGCATCCAATGTTTATGTATTTATGAATAAAATGATAATGGAACAATATCAAAACTGTCAATAAATATCCAATCCAGAAAAAATTGAAACTGACTAATCTCAATATAATGTTTGTAATTATTTTTTAGGTGAAAAAGATTACTAGAAATATGTATGTAACTTTTTCAGTTAGTTTTGTTTATGATAAAAATGTGGTTGAAAAAAAGAGCAGCGCTTCAATCATTGTCAATTTCAGATGGAATTATTTTTGTGAAGATCCTGTTGTTAAAAATAAAAATCAAGCAGTTTTGATATCTCTTAAAGGATCAATATCACCAGGCAAAAAATTGTGTAAGTTTATTTGACTTTTATTAAAAAAGGTTTATGATAAAAACATCAAGTTGTTGTCAACACATTTGTTGGTAATTTATGTTGTGTCGTTAATAAAACACTGTACTACACTTAAATATATATATTCTTATAAGTAAGCCATCTTTAATATACATTTTTTATAGCCACGTATGTTTATATATATCAAAACATTGTTCCAATTTGTCCGCATATGACTAAGGTTCACGGCTTCACATCCCTGAAACGTATTGGCTTTTGCCCCCTTGTCGACCGAGTACTTCTTCGATTCTGGTTAGGTTCTTCTTTAGTAACATGTAGTTCGGACATATCAGATTTATCACTATTGCATGGATCGATTTTTTCATTATTGGTATGATCATACCGCATACTGTCTTCATTATTCATAAGTATACTAGGCTCATTTAGGCGTTTGTTTATTTGGTCATATTGTGCTAACGTACCCGAAGAGTTATTCCTTAATATGATTGCATTGTTTAGACCTGCCTGAGAGATGAATGAGGCAGGTTCAGGTTTGGAATCTGGTTTTTGACGGTACCATAAAGGTGTCCCACTTTCGAAACTCATGGTGAAAGGGGATCTCAACTGCCTTCCCATCATCTCGGAAGGACTCCTTGATCTTCCTGCATGAGGTATTGTTCTGTAACTTAAAAGCATTCTGCTTAAATATCCACATAATAAACCTTTGTCCGGTGAATAAGCTCTTAAACCCATCTTAACTGTCTCTACCATTCTTTCAGCTGCTCCGTTAGATTGAGGATGGTAAGGTGGAGTCTTATAAGGTACGCAACCTACTTTCTTTAGCCACTGATGTAAGGTGGTATCATGAAATTCCGCAGCATTGTCGGATACTAAAACCTCTGGAACTCCATTTCTTGAAAAAACACTTTGTAGTACTGCCTTTACAGTGGTCGTTTCACGGTTATTTACCTTAATAACTTCCGGTTATCCAGAAAAAGAATCTACTAAAATCAAAAACAGTCCGATACCCTGTACATGTGCATGATCCATATGTACTCTACACCAAGGTTTATTTTCACTTGGCCATGTATGTAATGTCCTTTCCTTCTTCACTTTTATTTTGGCACATTTTTCACAGTTTTTCACATATTCTTCAACATCTTGACAGTAGCCAGGCCACCAGGCTTCTAATTTTAATCTACATTGCGTTTGCATTATGCCACAATATCATCATGGATCGATTTGATGAAGATCTTTCTCATTGTCTTAGGAGGTACAATGAGGTCACCATTACACACAATTCCTTTTTCGATAGTCAGTTTATTCCTAATAGATTTATGGGGTCTTTCTGTTACCGAGCATCTGCTCCAATTATTCTTCCTAATTCTGGTTTTAATGTCCATCAATACCCTATCATTTTCTGTTTCTTTTATTATTTGCTCAAGGTTCACTATATCTGACTCGACTAAGTGTATAAATGTTTCTTGGTCTTTCTCTTCATCTTGTGGTAGAAAGGACAATCTCGATAATGCGTCAGCATGAGGAATGTTTTCTCCCTTCTTGTAGCTTATTTCGTAGTCAAATGCCATCATTTGTATGACCTATCTTAAAATTCTAGCGGATGTGACTTTGGGCAATTCTTTGTTACTATCAAATATAAATTCTAATGGCCTGTGATATGATATTAATTTGAATTTTCTACCCAACAGAAAATGCCTAGCTCTGTGAGCAGACCATACAATAGCTAAAGCTTCTCTCTCAATATTAGAATATCTTGTCTTAGCGTCTGATAACGTTCGTGAGAGATACAATACCGGATGGCCATTCTGTGAAAGTATTCCAGATATAGCTTTCTCGCTAGCATCTGTTGTTAACTCTAGATCTTGGTTGATGTCATAAACCTTCACTACGGGTTCTTCACAAAGGTTTCTTTTTAGCAATTCAAATGCCTGTTGATGCTCCTTCCTCCATTCGAATGTAACTCCTTTCTTTCTTAAATTGTTTAAAGGTAAAATTTTTTCAGCATATTTATCAATGTGTCGACCATAAAAGTTTATTAATCCTATAAATGATTCGAGTTCCTTTTTATTATTAGGAGGACTTATTCAAAGTATTTTGCTGACTAAATTACGATCTGGGGTAACTCCTTTTTCTGACAGTTCGTATCCTAAAAATGAAAGACTTTTTGTTTCATTTACTGACTTTCGTTTATTTATGCTCATTCCCGATTCCTTCAATTTGCTCAATATTTTGTTTAAATTTGATTTGAGTTCTTCAGCATTTTTAGCACCGACACATATATCGTCTTGAAATATAATCATATTGGGAATAATATCGCCAACAACAGATTCTATCGCTCTTTGAAATATTGCACTTGCAGTCATAATTCCGAAAGGTAAACAGGTCCATCTTAATAATCCAATAGGGGTATTAACTGTTGTTATTTCTTGTGCCTCTTTGTCCATCTCAATTTGATGATAAGCTCCCTTGAGATCAATTTTAGCAAAATATTTCATCCCTGCCATTTTATGAAATATGGTCTCAATGTTTGGGATGGGATATGAGTCTGAGCATATTTTTTGGTTAACACGTATTTTGTAATCTGCACAAATGCGTAAATCTCCGTCTGTTTTTCTAACAACCACAAGCGGTGAAGCCCATCTGCTTCCACCAGGAGGAACCCTTTGAAGCAACCCTTGCTGTATCATTCCATTAAGTTTATCTATCACTAGTGGTCTTATATGGATAGGAAGAGGTCGAGCTTCAAAATAAGTTGGTTGTACGCCGTTTTTTAACAGAATATTTGCTTTGTAATTAATTAAACGCCCATGAACAAGAGGTTCTATACTATTTACTAATTTTGTGGCGTTGATATTTAATACATCCATACCAATTAGACCATGATTTTTTGTACAGTCTGCAACAATAATTCGTACGATATTCATTTTTGATTCGGTTTCCAAAGTTGCCTCAAATTCGCCTAGGACTTTTATAACTGTGCCATCAAACTGTTTCAGGCGAAGGTAGCATTTTTGTAATTTCGGTTTAGACATTAGTTCCCAAAAATTTTTTGGAATAATTGTGACTTGACTTCCGGTGTCAACTTGTATTTTTATATTGTAGTCATTAATTTTTACACTAATCTCTGAGTTTGTATCATTCATGTTAATGGAATACACACTAGCATCATCGTTCTCTGTTTCCTCTACTATTTTTTCATATTTAGTGTTTGCTTTGCATACATTTTTAAAATGGTTCAGCTTTCCACATTTTTTACAACTCTTCCCAAATGCTGGGCATTTCCTAGGTGGGTGTTGAAGGCCACAATACTTGCATTTAATCATTCTTTCTTTATTTTTATCAATGTAATTAACTGAAAGAAGGTCTATGCTGTTTTCGATGTTGTTTTGTATACTAAAACAGGATATTTGCTCCAGTTGCCTGATAAAATCAATACATACTCCTAGTTTAGGCGATTCTCCACTCTGTATCATTTCTAGAGCTTTAACTCTCTGATCAGAAGATTGGAGACCATCAATCAATCTCATTTGAATCAAATCATCTTCCGCACTTTAGCCATCTTTTCCCAATTTTTCGAAGTTGCAAAAGCGTGAAGCTTCGCGTAATCTTTGTGCATATGATACGATGTTTTCATTGTTTTGCTGTTTTAATGCTAAAAATCGAACTCTTTCAGCAATAATTAGTCGTTTTTGAGGTCTCAAATGGGACATAACAACAGTTTTAATATCATCGAACATCATATTTTCTAATTCTTCTGGATATACCATAAGAGAAATCTTTTTAACTGCTTCAATCCCTGCTTTTGCCATAAATAAATCTGTTATCTCGTAGCTACCGTTTATCTCATCTTTTAATTTCTTTGAACGTGCGGAAGCTGAAAAGCATCTAACCCATGCTTCTGCATTATCTGGGTCATCTAAAGTCAAATCGTCCCTTACTCGTAGCGCCATTGTTGTGTCGTTAATAAAACACTGTACTACACTTAAATATATATATTCTTATAAGTAAGCCATCTTTAATATACATTTTTTATAGCCACGTATGTTTATATATATCAAAACATTGTTCCTATTTGTCCGCATATGACTAAGGTTCACGGCTTCACAATTTATTTTTAATACTTTTAAATTTTTTGTTAAAAAAAAGTCTATTTTATATAGTTACAATTACAGATCTGTTTATATTATTTCTACTATTATAAGCTGTCATTTGCAGTCTAATTTAAAGCAACTACAGGTCAGAAATAAATTATATGACTACTATGCAGTGTCAGGTCAGAAATGTATTATATGACTAATATACAAAACTGAGGTTTTTGATATTAACAAGCGCTCTTTAATTTAAAGAAATATAAATACACACAAAAAATTTGTTGTCGTTTATTTTATTGTGTAAAGGAACTTAATGGCCTAACGTAAATAAATAACTTGAAATTTTTATTAACTAGTTATATTAGTTAACATTATCAGGTAATCTATTAAATAATAATAAGTTTGTGCGTCAGGCCCGCACAGAGATTTTGTGATGTCCAGGGTCAATTTTGTTTGGTGTCCTAAACCTTGGATTCCTGGTTATATTGAATTATTTATGAATTTCACTGTTTATTGTCAGTATGATACTATCACATTACAATTTAATAAAAACAATAATTAATTTTGTATTTACTATTGCTGCACATAAATACTCTACATTTGAACTTGGTTATATACGATAAAACGAAAATATAAATACAATTTAAATTGAATGGGATAATATATTTCATCAATAAAATGTTAATTATGAAGAACGATCAAATCACACTAATCTCACTTTGCGTGTTTTCTTTTTGCGAAACTAGAGATGACACTTTCAAAAATTAAAGTCTTGACAGGGTTCTTAATTTAAATCACCAGAAAGTTAGTAAAGCGTTATTCAGTCATTGTTGATTGCAATTTGGATTTGATGAGAGCAAGCTTACTAAAAAAGTGCTTTTCTTCACCCACAGGAACCAGGACTGCATTAAAAATGCAAAGCAAAAGGCAGATGGAAAGAAATATTGAATGAATACATTTTTGGTAGAATCTGTTGAGCAACTTGAAAGAAGAAAGAGATTCCATTTGTTTAAAAGTATTTGATTGCTTCAGAACATCTAGTCGACGGAATTAAATTCTCTTCTTTTACATCATTTCGTAAAGATTTTCCAGGACTTTGCATTTTTTTTTCTGAATATGTTTTTCTTCATCAATAGAAGGAGACAAAGATACCTTCAGAAGGAGACAAAAAACACCTTCAGAAGGAGACAAAAAACATCTTCAGAAGGAGACAAAAAACATCTTCAGAAGGAGACGAAAAACACCTTCAGAAGGAGACAAAAAACACCTTCAGAAGGAGACAAAAAACACCTTCAGAAGGAGACAAAAAACACCTTCAGAAGGAGACAAAAAACACCATATGAACGAAAACTTATTCGTCCTCATTTAAGCTGTATCTATTAGCAACATTAAATACGTTTATCTTGAACCGTTTGGTTCGTCTTCGCGGAAGTGGGCTGTTTTCATTAATTTCATTAATTTTCATTAATTTTCTTTTTTTGTCTCTTTCTCAACAAAATCATTTTCAAATCAAAACGAAGCTAACCCAGATGCAACTACTTTCGCTTTTTGGAGGATTTGGGGCCAAGAAGAACAGTCGGTCAAGTTATCATATCATATGTTATCATAGCCCTGTCCCCTACAGTTCTGTAAATTGATACGGCTTTGATCTAAAATACATATAATCAGCTTCGCAATTTCAGAATCTATTTTTCTTTCCAGACTTTCTACCTTCAAAAAACGCTCTTTTACTATCCAATGGTTGTCAGACTCTAGGCTGACAAATTGAGGAACGAAAGTAGTTTGCATAACAATGAAATAACGAATACATTTAGATTAGTATACCAAGCAACATTTAAATCATTTTATGAACATAAAGTGCCAATTCACGTCGAAAACTTAGATTTCTCAAAGTTAAATGAACAGTTACGTCCAGGACGCAGCCTAAACGTTTATACCACTTAGATTCCTCATTTTTTATTAACTTTATAAATTCTGATTTGAAGCGAGTCTAATTTTTCAAGGCTTCAAAGGCCAATTTTACGTAATTTATGTAATTTTTACTGTGTTGAGCAATACTGTGTTGAGCACCGGTGTTTTTACTGTGTTGAGCACTGGTGTTTTTACTGTGTTGAGCACTGGTGTTTTTACTGTGTTTTTACTGTGTTGAGCAATACTGTGTTGAGCACTGGTGACTTTAATCTTTTCTCTTGGCTCTCGCCGATTAGCTTTTACTCCGCCATTCCACATCAAGAGGAAGAAAAAGACTGGTATCCCGGGCTGATATTATGCTTTTATATATTTTAAAATAAAGCAGGGAAAACAAAAAAATGCTTTTGCAGTTCCATTCCAGATAGGTCTATTGTTTTATATATTTAACACAGTATATAAATATATAACACAGTATAAATATAAGTATATATATATATATATATATATATATATATATATATATATATATATATATATATATATATATATATATATATATATATATATATATATATATATATATATGTATATATACACTGTGTTATATATATATATATATATATATATATATATATATATATATATATATATATATATATATATATATATATATATATATATACGCGGGCGCATATATGTAAATATTAAAAATGATTTCTTTATATTATCATGTATAATAATGTATCTTTTAAAGAGTGCTCAATAGATAAACTAGAGCTATATAGTATATATATTACTGTTACCCGCAGTATCAGGAATAAGCTAAATGCTAATATTTATAATATTATATTGCGACTTAAAGTTTCATGTGTTACCACAATCATCAGGCAAGTAGTCAAAAGTTAATTTTGGTACAACGCGTTTGTGGCAAAATTAATTAAGCACTAATACGTATATATATATATATATACGTATTAGTGCTTGCATATATCTTCGCGAGAGTATATATGTGTGTATATATATACATATATATATATATATATATATATATATATATATATACATATATATATATATATATATATATATATATATATATATATATATATATATATATATATATATATATATATATATATATATATATATATATATATATATATATATATATATATATATATATATATATATATATATATATTATATATATACCTATATATATATATATACTGTGTTGTTAATTTAGTATGATTAGATCGCGTTTTACTTTGGATTAAAAACCTCTTCCACAAAGCTATGTCATTTCTAACTGATTGATATTTCAATTGAATTGCATTTTTGATTTAAATTGAAAAACGCATTTGAGAATTATGGTATGTTTTTAATATCTGCAGATATTAAATGATTTGTTTTTATAATCTGCAGATTCTTCATAAAATAAGAATGCGTCTCAAACTCACCCGATTATAACCTTTTTCTTCAAAGACCTTTAAAAAATTTGAATGTGAAGATTTAACAATGAAGGTTGAAGGTTTAACAACGCTGTTGGTTGCATGGTCCGTCTAAAAAAGAATTGTTTCTTATGTTTTAGAATGAAATTATGGATGAGAGATTGTGAATAAAATTATAGCAGCCGTGGCGCAGTGGTAGCGCACTTGTCTCTGTGTCTTTAACTGTGTATTTTTTGCTTTGAGACCCTGAATCATGCTTTCAAAAACTGGACGTAACTTTTTACTCTAAGATGTGCGCTACTTGTTTTTAAATAAAACAAAAAAGTCTTTTGTTCGTTTCGAAATCAAAATTTATTTTTTTTATTTGAATTGAAGAGAAATAAAACTAAATGTAATTTCACAATATCAACATAATTGGAATAAATGTATTGAGAAAAGTTTTGGAATGAGAGTAACTTAACTAATTTATGTAACATAATATTGATGTTTTAAAACAAGTCTTTTGTTTGGATAAGTGTTACGTTATTCGAAATTTAACTTCATTTTAATTTGAGCCATTGCAATAGATCTTTCCACGCATTGCAATAGATCTTTCCACGCAGAAAAATAGAAATTGTAAAATTTCCTTTTAACTTGACCTAAATTCGAATTTCTTTTCATTTTATAAAATTCTAAAATTTTTACAAAATATGTTACAAAAAAAAAAAAAAAAAAAACTTTTGTTTTTTGTTAAATGTTTTGCTTGAAATGTTGCAAACAATCCTCTCATTCTTTTTTGCAGTTTGCATATTTTAAAGTTTGTCTTTGATAAATTGAAAATAAATGCATACTACATGTAGGCCTAAGTATGAAGAAGACTTTAACTGTCTTATCAAATAGCCGTTTACATATTGTCTGTGTTTATATAAAAGCAAATATATTCATAACTCGTTTTAAAATATATATAAATTTTACAAAATGTAAAAATTTGTTCAAAAAGAACGTGAGGCTATAGAATATTTCTACTGTTTTAAAATAAACGTAAAATAAACATGGATATATATTAACACATAAGATATATTCATTTAGTAATAATAACAACTTTTTTCTTTCCGAAATAAATTTAGCATAATAAAAAGTCTGTTGTAATAAATAAGTTTTAAATTTCTCCAAGCAGTAGAGCTCTGTTTAGTTAATACAAAATTTTAATAAAATCTATTATTGATGGTCTTATGTGTCTCCTTTGTCCATGTCGTTAAGTAAAATGTAATTAGTCGGCGCTTCTCCGCTGGGTGGCTCTATTGTGTCTAATGACAAAAAATGAGCTAGAATATATTTTTTATTCAATTATTCATCGAATATTTTGGAATATTCTAATGAATATTTATTTTAAGTTCATAATGAATTGCGGGTATTGTGCCTAGCATAATCGGCTTCCTCTACTGTGGTTTACTTTTCTTTAAAGAAAATAGCTTTTTAAGAAAAAAAATATTTCTGTGTACTTCTAAACTTCAAACAGTTTTTTACTAAATATTTTTTAGATATTCCTAATTCTGTTTTGGGATTATTTAGTTTAGATAAATTAAATTTGAAAATGTTTACTGTATAAATGTTTACTGTCCGTTTTTATTTTTTATATATGGTACTACTGCAACCATATAATTTAGTTTGCTTCAAGCAAATTTATAAAATTACATTGAACAATGGCAAAATCCAAAGCTTCAGTTTCACTTTAATTACTTGTTGTTGTTTTTTTTAACAAGTAGGACAAATAGTCGGATGTAATAAAGACATAAATCTCAATTCATTAGGCTTTACCTATGTTCCAACAAATCTTTTAATAAATTATGTTTTTTTTTAATTATTATTATTTATTTAGCTGTGAATAAGATAAGTTCAACATGGATTTACAATCAACCAAATGGAACATTGATGCTTTCTGAAACTCATCAGTTTGTATGTCAGACCATGCAAAAGAGGTAGACTTAATGGTGTTTGTAATATACACTTTAAGTTACACCAAGTTAAAATAATAATGATTTTTATTTTACTAAGCGTTAAAAAAAAATATTTTTGAATATTTTAAAATAAAAAAAAAAATCAATACTTTTTACTACTTAATCAATTGAAATCAAACATTTTTTTATAAAATTAAAATTAACCTATAACGTGCTTTAGGCAATCTAGCCCTTGTTATCAGCGTGAAATATCGTCAGGAGTTATCAGTTGTAAGTTTTAACAAAAAAATAAATATACTGTAGTATCATTGTCACAGTAAATAAAAATAATAACTAAAAAACCTAAAATTTATTTGTTTAGTTCTTCCAATTCAAGTAATGGAGGTAATCGGTTACGATTCAAATACCACATTAGTTTATGGACTTACGACAAGAAAAAATTTTATTGAGATTGACATCAGTAAAAAAAAAAATATTTTTATAACAAAAGAAAGATGTTTGAAAATACCTGCTTGTGAAAAGTTTTTGAGTCTAAAGTGACATTTCACTTTATAAATGAATTCAATATATTTTTAAAAATTTAACTTGCGAAAAAATATTTTGATATTTTAACGTTAAATATTTTTCCAATTTACGATTTAAAGAATATAAATTTATTAATTTATAAAGAATATAGTATATAAAAAATAAATTATATAAAAAATATAGTATATAAAATATAATATGTAAATAATATAAAATATAAAGGTAGAGAGGTATAAAATATAATATGTAAATAATATAAAATATAAAGGTAGAGAGGTACTTTAAAAAAGAAATAAAGTGTATACTTTAGAAATACTTTAAAAAAGATATGTATTTCAAAACTAATCTAAGCCAGTCTAATAAAAAATTATTTTATTTTTGGTTGTAACTTATTTTTTTAAGGGGTCTTCCATAATATACGTCGCGCTCTAAGGAGGAAGGGGGTTAGTGGTTTTGTGACGACTATTACAAAACCTGCTACTAAAGTGTAAAAACATCTCTCTGCATTTACAATTCCTTATAAGATATGCATACAATTTATATTAGTTGTTTAATCGAACTTTTATAATATTCATTATGTATTTTATATATTGCTTTATATATCAGACAGTGGGGAAACTTCCAGATTGGCGGACGCTTTCTTATAAATTTTATTATTAAATTGGAAAAAAAAAAGGAAAAAAAAAGAAAAAAGAATAAAATAAGAAAAATAGATAAAATAAAAATAGAGAAAGTGAAGAAAAGAAAAGGAAAGACATAAAAAAGCAAAAAACATAAACAAAAAATTAAAAACCAAATTAAACAAACAAAAAAAAATTAGAAAAGAAACGAGTAAATTAAAAATAAAGTGACAAAAAGCCAAAGTTAAAAAAACGAAACGCTCAAAAATGGAAAATTATTATACAGAATTAAAATAAAATATAATTCCGTTTTTGAAGAAACGTAAAAGAATATTTTTAAAATTTTATTAATTTTAAGGGACGATATATATAATCCTTTTTGATTTGAATGTTTTCATTTATTATGAAAACTCAGTACATTTTGTGAACTAAATATTTGTGTGTGACACGTTTGTATTTGTCAGTATTATTAAAAAAAAATTTTGTTTGTTTATTTATTGTTATTTTTTTAATAAAATATTTATACTACTTTTGTTGTCTTTATTATGATTATTGATATAAAGATAATTATATTTATTAAATAATTGTTACTTTTTTTGTATGAAATTGTTTTAGTTACATGGTACGTTGTTACGTTTTGTCAGAATATAACTGTTTATAAGATTATTAAGATTTTTACTTTTAAGATTTTGAAAAAACAATAAATTAAAATATTTTTCTTTTACTTTTTTTTTTCACCAGTTGCAGGATTTTATGTTTTATAAATCTGATATGTTTTATAAATCTGTTATGTTTTATAAAATGTTATGTTTTATAAATCAAGTTTTTAAGTTTTCTTTACGTATTTATTTTGGCCTTTGGGTCTGAAGCAGCTCTCCGGTTTACGTATAGCTCTGCTGTCAAAAAGCTTTAACAGCTCTTGCGTCAAAAAATCTTACTAATGCATGACTAGAATATAAGGAATAAATTTTTTACTCTTTTTTTTTTTTTATCTCTAATTAAAAATTTCTTTAATTTTTTATATCATAGTAAATTCAGATAGGCTTTTTATTATTAATCACATCAACGTAAGAAATAAAGTATTTATTTTAAAATTTAAAAATTATTAATTCAAAGTATAAAACTGATATATGATAAAAAGGAATACCAAAATTAAATTTCTTCATAAAATCAGACTATAACATTAAAACATGAAATAAAATATTTACCATAATACTAAAAAAAAAAATAATTCAAAGGTATAAAACTGAAAGATAATAAAAAAAAAAATACTAACGATAAAAATTTATAAAGTTTACAACAAGTTTGCTACTATAAGTTACTATCAATTTTATGGTATTTACATGCATATTTACATTTGATTATAATTTGATGTTGCCAAGGCCGGCGCGATGGGAAGGGTGTGTGTGGAGGGGTGTGACACCCCCACCCCCCATCAATGATTTTTTCCTTCATTAAGTCGGCAAATTTGATCCTTTTTGACTAGTTAGTCAGTAAATGTAGACTCTTTCGACAGGTTAGTTGGTAAATTTAGACAGTCAGTCAATAAATGTCGCTATGGCAGTCGGAGGGCATCAGAGGGCAGTCGGAGGGTAGTCGAAGGGCGGTCGGAGGGTAGTCGGAGGACAGTCGGTAAATTTTAAAAAACGAGGACCGTTTTTTTTTTAGTCGGTAAAAGTTGTAATGGCACCCCCCACGTGACACCTACTCGCGCTGGCCCTGGATGTTGCTGCATAGAATTAGTTATATAAAAATAGTATTGTTTTAAACAAATCGATCTTTAAATATATTTTTTTAAATTAAACTTGAATTTAAAAAAATATTTTTATATGTAATAAATGTGTGTATTGTATAGTCATTTTATATGTAAATAAATGTGTGTATTGTGTGGTCATTTTATATTAAAATGACTACACAATACACACATTTGGATATTCGTACACGTTTTAAACTATGCAATCATTAGTAATTTTTTGAATTTTGAATTATAGTTCGTAAATCTATATTACTAAATTTTAAACTATTTAACTACTACTACTACTACTACTACTACTACTACTACTACTACTACTACTACTACTACTACTACTACTACTACTACTACTACTACTACTACTACTACTACTACTACTACTACTACTACTACTACTACTAACTACTACTACTACTACTACTACTACTACTACTACTACTACTACTACTACTACTACTACTACAACTACTACTACTACTACTACTACTACTACTACTACTACTACTACTACTACTACTACTACAACTACTACTACTACTACTACTACTGCTACTACTACTGCTACTACTACTACTACTACTACTACTACTACTACTACTACTACTACTACTACTACTACTACTATTACTACTACTACTACTACTACTACTGCTGCTGCTACTACTACTACTACTACTACTACTACTACTACTACTGCTACTACTACTACTACTACTACTACTACTGCTACTACTACTACTACTACTACTACTACTACTACTACTGCTACTACTACTACTACTACTACCAAAAAATTAAGAATTTTTATGATGCAAATTTTGAAACAGGGTCAGTTACTTTAGTAAATCGACCCAGTAATATTTTTAATATTAATATACAAATAGGTATCATAAAAACTGAAATATCGGATCATTTTCCTCTATTCTTAAAAGTTAATAAAACAAACCCAGAAAGAAATATTAATATAAAAAAAATAATAAGAAAACACATTTATAATGAGGCTAATATTAATTTATTTAAAGAACAAATATCATTACTGCATCGGAAAAACATAAATTTTGATGATAACGCAAATAATATTTATGAAACTTTTTTCATAACATTTTTTTCTGTTTATGAAGTTAATTTCCTAATAGTAAAAAAAACAATAAAAACTATCAAGACACCCTGGATTACTAAAGGTTTTAAAAAATCATCCAGAAGAAAACAAAAGTTATACATAAATTTTTTAAAAGCAAAAACAGCTTCAAGCGAAAAAATCTATAAGAACTACAAAATCAATTTGAAAAAATTCGCAAAAATTTAAAGAAAAATTATTACTCCAAATTATTCAATACATTTAAAAACAATTCAAAGCACACGTGGCAAATAATAAAAGAAATTATTGGCAAAAATAAACCATGTTCTAACTTTCTGCCGCAAAAGGTTAGAGTCGACAACAAAAGTTTATATGAACCAAAAACTATAGCTCAAGATTTTAACAAATGTTTCACTCATATTGGATCAACGCTGTCTGAAAAAATCCCCAAGACCAAATCTTTGTTAACTGACTATCTAGAACCTCTGAATAAGCAAATTTGTTCAGATGAGTTATCTTCCGAATTAATGTTTAATAAATTTGAAAGAGCCTTTAAATTGTTGAAAAAAAAATAAAGTAATTGGAGTAGATTAAGTTAATGGAAACGTGGTTTTAGATTGTTTTGAACAACTTAAAGTTGTTCTTTTAAAAATCTTCAGGACTTCTATCCATCAAGAAGTATTCCTAGAACAATTAAAAATTGCAAAAATTATTCCTATTTTTAAAGAGGGAGACAAATTATCAACAGTAATTATCGCCTTATCTCTGTTCTTTCCACATTTTAGAAAACTTTAGAAAAAATTATGTTTAACAGAATATATATGATAATAATCTACTTTACATCAATCAATTTGGTTTCAAGAAAAATAACTCAACTGAACATGCAATTATCCAATTTGTACGTGAAATCTCAAAATCATTCGAAAAATCTCAATATACACTAGGAATTTTTATTGACCTATCAAATCTTTTGATACGGTCGATCACCATATTTTAATTTAAAAACTCAAATATTACGGAATAAAAAATAAATTTTTTAAATGGTTTAAAAGTTATCTAACCAAAAGCAATTTTTACTATTTAACAATGGTTACCTACCCACTTTTCTAAATATAACCTGCGGAGTCCCGCAAGGTTCAATTCTTGGACCTCTCCTTTTTTTTAATTTATATAAATGACTTAAATAAAGCTTCAAAACTAGCAAGCATTATGTATGCAGATGATACAAATTTATTCCTTTTCTAACTATGATATCGATGAACCTTTTAAAACAGTGAACTCAGACATATATCTAATTGGTTCAAGTGTAATAAATTTACCTTGAATACTAATAAAACAAAACTGGTTTATTTCATTCGATTACAAAAAAAAACGATTTCTCCCATCAATACTATCTCAAATCTTTATCGATCAAAAGGAAATAAAAAAAGAGATTTTGTTACAAAATAACTTTTTAAATGAACTTTTCTGTAAAACAAACTTTAATCAATTACACACCTTTGGAATAAAATTGTTTTGGCAAATTTTTATTTTGAAGTACCTATTACTTTTTGCCTTTTAAAAAAAAACTGAAAAACCTTATTCTTTCATTAGATAATATATTGAGTTATTATTAGTAGTAAAAATTAAAAAT